ATCTTTCCCTCAATTGAGACACGAACTTCCTCTTCAGTCAACTCTGTATACCCAGCAAGGTAGCCCATAATTCTTTCGACTTCAATAACATGAGGCAGACGATGCTCTCCTTGCTTTATATGCTTACCTACTGGCATGCTGGCTTTATTCCCAAGATGACAATTTGTTGTCACAACACCATGGGTTTTCTCATTATATGCCTTGGCATTGTTGATAACAAATTGTAGGCAAGTTTTCGGATGTGACTCAATGTCAGGCATTTGCTTCGGGAGGGAATGTTCGTCCAGTACAACTGCCGCCTTTGCTGTGGTGCTACCCACTTCGAATCAATGAACACAGGCACAATTCCCCCTAAGTGCTTCGTAATCTCAAATCTATCTTCCCATTTCATTGAAATAAAACATTCCCGAGCAGGCACCATTTCGATTTTGTCTCATTCATTACTCTCAGAACATCCACAAATAATCTACTTTTCGGCCCGTGCAATCCATGTTTTCAGTACAACTTTTCCTCTCCCCAAGGCTCCGGCTTAGCCAATCCACATGCATTTCTCCGGGTCATTTTTCTCGGCTTTTCTCAGGTCCTGCCAATTCCGCATGCATATTATCCTCTGTTCTTTCTTGCCTTATACTTAATTGACTCTCCTTGTGCAACGCTCGACTCATCCCTTGTGCATTTCTTTTCCCAAAACATCTTGTCAGGCCTTTTTCTCAAACCCATGCGGACCAGTTACTCATCCGTTTCTCAACCTGCCAACCTCTCTTCTAAAATCTATGCAAAATCCATCATACAATTCTTTTCTTTTTCGGACGTATCGCTCGGCCCATTTTCAAGTTCATGCCAATTCAATCACACAGGTCTTTTTCTCTTCTGGGCATCTTGCTGTCCCCTTATCTCAGGCCCCTCGCAAAGCCAGTTACACAAGTCTTTTCTGTCCTCGGCATCTTGCTAGGCCCCCTTTTCTCAGGCCCATGCAAAATCAATTACACAAGTCTTTTCTGTTCTGGGCATCTTGCTAGGCCCCCTTTTCTCAAGCCTACGCAAAGCCTATTACACAATTCTTTTGCATGCGTTTTCATTGGTAGATGGCACACCTTCCCCTCACTCAAAACGCGATGTCCCCATCGCGCGACTGGTTCTCACTCGGAGGTACGCAGACCTTTGGCCCACCAACCGCAGTCAAGGACACAAGCCCATCCGCTTCACAAAAGGAAGAGTGATCAATTCCTTCCCAGCGAACGACGCCTCTTCCTCCTACTCGGTCCGACCTTTCTTCTCTCACGTGGCGAGCACCAATACTGAGGTTCCTCCTCACGTCTGGCAGGCAGGTCCAATCCAAGCCTTTCAGGGCCTCGTCTAGCCGCCAAAGCGTTCCTTGCGAATCGTTCCTCCTGAGTGGTAGTTTTCTGGATCCGGCCTCTTCCTTTCAAGAGAGTTAGGGCTCTCAATTAGTCTGCGAGTGCAGTTAAGAGACCTCGCAATTCGTCCCGAAACGGTTGTAATGTTCCGGCAGGGCAGTGTCACCCAATTAGTCCCGTGGTGGTGGCGGACTCCACCCGGTACCTCGCCAGCCTCTCCCCTTGGACAGTGCCACCCAACTTAGCGCGGGCAGTCGTGGTCCGACCCAAACGGCCATGGCACCCCTCTATGACATGGCGTGTGGTTGGAGAATGGCAAAATAGACTTAGATGAGAATGACTCTCTCGCCCATTTGGCTCTCTCGCCCTTTGACGTTTAGGCATTCAACAGGAGGCGCAATTTGAACTCCCCGACTAGAGCTCATTGTCGGAGGTGGTTCTGAACGTCCCGCACCGATCCAAGTGGTAGGTGCCTTGGTCCTTTAACCCTCATCCTCTTGTAAGAGGAATAGGTCGCGCTGAGACTTTGCCCTTTAAGGGATAGAGGTCTTGGGGTCGCGGTGCAAGCACCGGTATCCCCCTCTTGCTGAGGCCAAGGACTAGAAGAAAAGAGAAATCCATTTCAATGCTATTTCCATGTCCATTTCAAGTTGCCTAAGGTCCCCTGTTTATGCCATGCAATTTTCAGTGCTCATTCCAATTCCGATGCTCAATCCAAGTCCAATGCTCAGTCCAATTTCCAGGGCTCAATCCAGATCCCAAGCTCAGTCCAAATCCAAGGCTCAATCCAACATCTCTTTCAATGCTGAGTCCAATATATTTTCCAAGGCTGAGTCCAATGTCTTTTCCAAAGCACAGTCCAATGTTTTTTCCAAGGCTCATCTCAATTCTCTTTTCCAAGGCTCAGTTCAATTCTCTTTTCCAAGTCCCAGCTCAATTCTCAATCTCGGGCATATCAAGCAGTCATGCAAGGGGATCCCAGTGCCAATTCCAAAGAATGACCCTTGTCAGGGGCCATTCCGAACAACCTGGTTAAGGTCATTCTTTCCAATTCCAAGTCGAACAGCCTGGTTAGGGCCATTCTTTTCCATTTCAATCGGACAGCCTGGTTAGGGCCATCCTTATCCAATTCCATCGGACAGCCTGGTTAGGGTCATCCTTGTCCATTTCCATCGGACGGCCTGGTTAGGGCCATCCTTATCCAATTCCGTTGTTAGCACCCGAGGGGGTGGGCCTCGAGGACACGGATCCTATCTCTGTCTCGGAGGTTAGAAGGTGGCCATCTCTTGAGTTTTACGCATGCCCTCATCCTTTTTCTTGTGTCATTTGTCGTTCTCATGTCCATCCATACACCCGACTTAGCGTCTAGTACTCAATTTGAGGCTCACGGCCCCAAGCAACACTAGCTCGCCTGGCCGTTCAACCATTGCAGAGAATACTTGCCCAATCCATGTTTCCTTTCTCTGGCCTCTCATGCCTTTTCATTGCTCTGGACTTGTGCGGGATAGGTTGGATTAGGCTCCTAGGGAAGAGGATTCTTCATGCCTCTTTACCCATAGGTCCCCTAACCTCTCAGAAAGACTCATGCGATGACTCATTCAACCATGGATACACAATTCTCAAAAGGAAACTCTTTGCCATCGACTTTTTTCATTGCTCAACAGTTCACATACCCTCGCCTGTCTCCCAAAACAGAGTCAATCATCCCTAGTCCCCTTCTTACTACCAAAAGCTCAGATTTCTCAAAGGAGCGAGTACTTATACAAAGTAGCACTAGCTACTCATCCCTTGCTAACTTTCCCAATCCCAGAAGTTGTTCTGTCGTAGTCCTTCTAAAAAAAGCAGGAGACAAAGTTCGAATGCAAAAGATAACATTACAGACTTATCTCATCTTGAAACGAGTCCTTCATAGTTCCAGTCTCAAGCTCATCCACCCACATGTCCTTCTGAAGAAGCCACTACTATTGGAAGGTAGCACTAGTTACCCAGTCTTTGGTCAAACTTAATCAAAAAGTTGTTCCATCGCAGTTCATTCAGAAACAAAAAAAATTCAAATGTGAAATTCAAAAATGGCAGTTCCACCTGCCTGGGTATCAGCCCTCCCCCAATTTCTAGCTAGCCCCCATTATGCGTACTATCCCTTTATTGTCCAGCTGCCCTGCGCCGAGCCTCCCTTGCACGATCCTCAATCTCTTGCTGCATTTGTCTCTTTATCCTCTGCAATTGAAAGAGCGTCTCCTCTGAGAAGAAGGTTGTTGGGGATATGTCCTCTCCCCTGCTCAGCTTTTCTTTCCCTTTCATTGCCCATTGATATCGCAAGATACTGGCCCATTGATCGAACCAGTCGTTGAAGGTCGGCTCGAACTCAGTTATCCATTTGTCATTATCTTCCCCCGGGTCCTCCTCCCTTCCCCGTACTTCCCTTGTGGGTGTTGTTACTTCATCTTCGTCCTCCTCGCTGCTGAGGTCTATGATCTCAATGGGCTCCTCCTCCCCCAACCTCTGTCTTTTCCCCGGGTTCGCCTCTTCCTCACTACTAGTATTATTTTCAGACGGCAGTACTATTGGCTCCCCCTCTCTGGGAGGTGACGGTCCCCGAGTCCCTTGCTTTCTCCCACCTTTGTTTATGACCAGATTGTGATCAAACCCCACATACAGCTTCCTCTTCCTGRAGCTTGATTCCCCGGCCTGTCTTGTCGGCCGCTGTTCATTAGAGCGATTGATTGCGTTGCTGTCGTTCTCGTTTCCAAACTCCATTTTGTTTTTTCTTGCTGTTCTTCTTGTTCCTCGGTCCTGTTCATCCATAACAGTCATCGCATCCCGTCATACGCACACATTCCCTCCCACCCTCATTTGCAGATTTGCAGGCCTTACCGGAACCCTTGCTTGCCCCCGTGTAGTTGGCGATACCATCATCCCTTTAGATCCCTTGGTACATTGTCCCAACACATAGGTGCCTCATGTAGGCAGTCCACAGCATCACCCCACAAAAACTATGGTACATTGTCCCGACACATAGATACCTCGTGTAGGCGGTCCCCAGAGTTGCCCCACAAAAACTATAATACACTGTCGCGTGCTCCCAAGCCTAGTCATAGTCAGCCCAGGCAGCCTCCCCCGTTTCCACAAAGATTAAGACACACAAACGAACAATCTCTGTGGTCATGATCGCTTCCACAGGGAGGCGGTCCATAACTATAGCCAGATGCCTGCCTTTCAAGTTGTCAATTCCCCTGTTTCCCTGTCCTGGGCTTGTTGTAACCATTGCTCCATAGGATCCCTGCTCGAAAACCTGACCAGCCTCTGTCCTGGAAATGGCCCTCTTATACTAGTACCATCAAGATCCTCAAGTTCGAACGTGTTCAATCCCACCCGCTTAGCGATTATGTAGGGCCCTTTGAACCTCTTCCCCAGCTGCCCAGACCACGTGCTCTCAAGGGTCGAGTTCCTAACTAGCACCTTTCCCCTACTTGGAGTGGTTCTTTCCGGATATTCTTCACCTGGTCCCATCTTGCTTGGTCCCTCGTTCGGTTATCCATCACGCGCTTGACCACTTCTTCCAAGGCTTCCTCATTTCTAACGATCTGCTGGCATCGTGCGATAATCAATTCTTCAGTAGACAGACGTGGATTGTCCAGGTGGGGACTAAAGCTTCCATCGGAAAATCAATCTCCCTCCCATACCAAAGTTCTGCCGGAATGCACCGTCATCCTTTTCAGTGTCATATTCTCTGAGAAAACTGCCTGCTTAAGGAACCGTGGCCAGTTTCCCAAATCATCCACTTCCAGCTTGGCGATTGTGTTCTTCAAAGTTCGGTGCCCCCTTTCTACTGGTGCATTGGCCTCAGGGTGATATGGCTCGATGATCTTGATAGGTACGCATAGTGCCTTAAGCCTGCTCAACACCTCCTGGTTGACGAACTCTGTTCCATTGTCCGCTATGAACCTACGCACAAAGGGGTGCCTAAGGTAGAAGTCTTCTATCCAATCTACCACTCCCTTTCCCGTCTTTTTCTTAAGAGTTACCGCCTCTACGTAGCCACTGAGGTTATCCCTTGCATCCAGGATATACCTGTATCCATCCGTCGACACAGGCATGATCGCAAGGTCGAGGTGGACCAAGTGCTCCGGTCCTAGTACCCGGGTAGGTCTAAGGGGCTCGAAAACACGTGCGAAGCTCCTCTCCTGGCATATCAAGCATGTTTGGCAGTATGTCGCCACCATTCCTGCCATGCCTGGCCAAAAGTAAAGTGGTGCGATTTTTGCAAGGGTCCCTTTTGACGACCTGTGCCCTCCGGCTAGTGTCCATCGTGCATTGCCTGGATTATATCTAATTGCCTGGACCTTCCGCATACGACGCATCTAGGCAACATTCCCTCTTCTTTCTTGAAGAGGTGGCCATGCCTCAAAACATACTTTTCGGCTTCCTCCCTTGCCTTGGGGCTGACTTCTAAGGGTTGCTTGTTTCCTACGAGCAGCAGGCCGATTTCCCTGAAGATGCCCTCATACATCTGTATGAGGCAAAATTCTCGTTCCTTCTGGTCGGTACCCTGTTCCACCTGGGCCTGATTCACTTGGTGTTGCCTCTCCCTCTGCGCCCAGGTTTCCGCTAGAGTCATCACAGCGTCCCGTCCCCCTTCAACGGCCATTGCCATCAGTTCTTCTTTCGGCCCCATCATTCCTCCCCACGAATCCTTCTCGTCCCTGCGTCTAAACGTGGTGACCGGTCCCTCCCTGAGTTCCGCAACTACGGCGGGCGCGCCCTTTTTTAGAGTCTGAATCAGCAGTTGATCCATTGTAGGGGCGGTAACTGCCATCTCGTTATCCACGACCAGGGTCCCTCCTTCGTATTCTAGGAAGGCGTCGATTGGCTCCACGTCCTCTATACCTTCTGGCGTGATACACACCCTACTCAACCCATCCGCCCTATTCCGAAGCCCCGCAATTCGCTCGACCTTGTAGTCGAATTGCCATATGAAGCCTATCCACCTCCCGACGGTTGGGTCTGTAGGTTTGTAATTCTTTAGTGCCCCAACAACGTTGGTCGGATCGATCCTTAGAATAAATCGCCGCCCGAACAGGTATGCCTGGAAGGTCTTAAGACAATGCAGGATAGCTAAGACCTCTTTCTTGAACTGTGAGTACCGCCGCTCTGCCGAATTCAAGGTTCTACTCTCAAATCTTATCGGTCTTTCCTTGTCCTCCTTATTTATTTGTATCAATACTCCTACTGCCAACGGTCCTCCATTCGTTTCTAAGATAAAAGGCCGTCCTACTTCGTCATTGAAGCAGGGTGCAGCCAAGGTAGCTTGATCGGAAGACGGGACGTCTTTGAGAGTCTGGGCCGCCGCTTCTCTATCCTCGGTCCAGTCCATAGTGCCACCTTCCCTGATCATTGCGCGAATGGGCTCAACTATCTTTGTGAATCCTTTGATAAAGATCCTCCAGAGCCCGACCACCCCTAGGAAGGCTCGTACTTCCGTCGTGAAGCGCAGGGCCGTCGGCCATTGAAAAATCTTATCTATTTTTGTCGGGTCTGGCTTCCTTCCATAGGCCCCACAGCGAAACCCCAGTATGGTCACTTCCGGGACGGCCAGGATGCTCTTTGGTGCACTTGTGGTAATATTATAAACCAAAAATCGTTGGAGTAGATCCTTGATATCCTTCAGGTGATCCCAGACAAACTTTCGTACGCCCGGCTCGACCTCTAACTCATCCTTGTTTCGCGCGCCCTTTATGGGATTATCGTTTATATACGGCTCGCACTTCTCCGGGAACATGTCCCCTGCTATGGCAAGCATTCTCCTCTGCGGTTCTGCCACCGCGTTTGTGAAACCCATAGGGGTCACTTGCATCTGCAACTGCCCTATTGGTGTGTGCATGGCGGTGTACGGCCTATCCCTCGCATCGAGCGGCAGTTGGTCATATCCAGAGTACATATCTATCAGGGAGTAAATACTTCGCCCTGCGTGGGATTCTGCCAGTAGATCGGCCTGTGGGAGCGATCCCGCATCACGGATTGTTACTGCGTTCAACTTCTGCAAGTCCTGAATCCATCTGAGTATCTTGTTTGGCTTCCGGAAAACGAACCACTTTTTCGCATAGGGGGATGCGGTGGGTTCGGCTACGAACGAATCTATCTTGGCCCTAAGTAATTCAATGACCTCCGCCGCTATTCCAAACTCATAGGCAGGCCCTTTGTCGTTCCAGCACTCATGCTCAACCATATGGATCCTAACGGGGGAATTTAGTTTTGCATCCAACCGACCCTTCTGGTGGTCATTGAAAGCAAAGGCTAGATGAAGCTCCTACACGCCCTTCTTATCAACCGAGTTTCTTCCTCCGTTAAGAACCCTTCCACCCCTATCTTCATGGTCTCCGCTATCTCATCGAGCATTCGGTGCCCTTCCGCTGCTCGCCTTTCCCTTATTGCCCGCAAGATTTCTTCCTTTTTTTCCATGGCCTCTTCTCTTGATGTTTCTACTAGGATCGAGACCGGCTTGGCCTTCTTTCCTACGGGTTTGTATTTTCGCACATTGGCTTCTGGGATCGCTCTCCTAAAAAATGAACGGTCGGGATTGGCCTTGCTACCTCCATGATGCGGGGCTGGATGCTAACTATCTTTCCATTCAGGCAGTAGCCTTTTCGGACCTCATCCTCGAACTTGGCAAGTGTTGTCGGGTCCACCCCCACTTTGTGGTACCTGATCGCCTTAACAAGTTGCAACAAGTCTGGGATTTCGAGTGCTAGCTCGGAGGTCTCGTTACGATTTTCCTTTGATTTGGGCAGGCTGGCCCCGAGTTCAACTTCCAGCTCCTTTTCCGCCACCATGACTCCTAGGAGCTCGTCCTCTGGCCTCCTCTTTTTCACGGGCAGACCCATCTTGATCCACTCCTTTTTACTAAAAGCCTCCTCAATCATGATTTCTACTCTCTCCCTCATACCTTCCATCCGTGCGAATGCCCCCTTCCGCGCACTCTCTTCGAATGTTGGCGACCAGGTTGCCAATTTGCCCTTTGGAGGGTCCCCTCCGCTCCCAAGAAGTTGGAGGAGTTTTCCGCGACCGGTCACTGGGTCCTCTATGTCTACCATGTATGTGCCGTCATGCAGATGCATTCCTATCATTTCTACATTGGTGCACCACGGTCTCCCGAGGATTATGTCATGATCAATTTCTTCCATCACGGTCATCCGTTGAAAGGACCAGATGGATTCCCGGATTCCCGCCTTGACTGCACATTTGGTGACATACCCTGTGAAAGGAATTTCACCACCGGCTCCCCGGATACTCCCTGCTACTTCCTTGTTTACCGTGAACCCCGTGACTGTTGCGAAATCTCGTCGTATGAGGGTGATTTCTGCACCGCCGTCCACTAACGCGTCAGTGTGGTGGGTTCCGATTTGGACTTTAAGTTTCCCTACAGGTAATGCATGAAAGCTAAGCTTTGTCCCGGGTGACGCCCTCATGACTTCGCCACCTTCACGATCCGGTAGGCTTAGGCGGATGTCCGCAAAAACTTTGTCCAAGTCGTCCAGATCCCCGGGAATTCTTTGGAGGTTGGAGACGCCTTGGGGTGCCTCTGCCTCTTACGTCTCCTGCTCCTGCGGTTCCGGAGCCTCCTCTACCTCTACGCGTTTAGGCGTTAGCAACTGCCTGAGTCCTTTAAGCAGTCTTGGGCTGGCTTGCAGCATGGTCTGAAAGGACATTGATACCATGGTACCCAGCAGCTTACTCAAGGTGCCATCGATTTCAGGCGAAGTCAAGATTGGAATTTGATACCTGAACTTCTTCTTTGCCGCCGTAACTTTATCTACCGGTCCCTCCTCCCTTGCTTTTTCGTAGACCTTCTCTTGTTCCTCGGCTTCGGTCTCTTGCTTGTCTGCGCTAGTCCCGGCGAGTTCTTCCATTATTGTATCTTGAATAAGCGTTTTTTCTGCGCCAGCCCGGCGAGTGGTGATATTTACCCTATCCTGCCCATTGCCTTCTAGGATAAAATTGGTCTGTGGTCCGCGTCCCCTTGGTTGGTCCCATACAATCTCGGCTACCGACTCTGCTTCTACGACAGCTATCTCTAAGTTGTTCAGGAGGATGACGGCTCGCCGCATCCCTCCTGGCGAGTTCCAATTTACACGCTCCCCCTGGGGTCCGAGAATCTCGCCTTTGAGGGACCTGTTGCACCTCTGCCGCTCAATATCGTGATTGAGTCTTGGGCAAGCCCTCACGAAATGTCCGACCATTGTGCATTACTTGCGTCGTTCATTGACCGGATCCCTCCTGCCAAATCCCCGATGAGCTACGGTTGTCGGAACTACGACCTCTTGGGGCGGGAGGGCGGATCTGGACAAGTGCGCCTGCATTACTAACAACGCATTTTCCACTCTTTCCATCTTGCTGTCAACCCCGTGCACTCGTTCGTGCAGGCTCTCTATCTTCTTCTTGACCTTATCCCCCATCTTCCCGGTCAGGTCTATAACCTCCCCTTCCTTAAGCAGGGCCAGGGTCTCAGTTACCACTGTCTTCTCTGCAAGATCTGTTACCGTACTGAAATCCACATCCCTTGTGTATTCAAACTTACTGGTCTGTTGGTAAGCCGATAGAATCTTATCTTTGTCGAACTCGGAGAACAGCCTAAGGAAGTACTTACTCATTATAGGATCCGTTACCCCGGGGATTCGCAGTGCCACTAGAGTGAACGCCATCGGAAAGTCATTGTAAGTAGCATAGTTCTTCCTTTGGACTGCCGCTAACTCGGCTTCTGTTGCCATCTTCTCCGCCTTTAGGTACTTCCTCATCATCTCGTTCCTGGTTTCCTTCCAAGATCCACTAGTGGCGACAATGGTCATAATGTCCCTACCCAGACTCAGTGACACATGCTGCCCCAAATGGTCAATTTTCTCTTCCTCACTCCATTTCAACAAGGTTGTCAGGTTCTCATAGTCTATCAGGAACTCCGTAATGTTCGCCCCATCAAAAGTGAGTTTCTTCTTGGCATCGGCCAGATACCCCTTATTCTTATTCAGAGCCCTGGTGAGGGTAACTACTATTTTCTTAAGACCTCCCTCAGAGCTACCTGCTTAACCGGTCGGACTGGTCCCTTATCCTTCCTTGCTATCCCCCTGCTTTTCCCCAGCCTTTGGCGTCCCCTCAGGATCGAACCATCCTAGCACCCTTTCTTTGAGACTCCAAAGTCCGTCACAATCCTTTTCTACTTTTGGTGTGGCGGGCAGGCGACTAGCCCCGCTGTCCATAGCAGGTGGGGTCGTAGCCTTTTCTGCCTCCACGGCCGGAGCGTCCCCTTTTTCCTTCCCTTTCTTGCTGGGCATTTCCTTATGGCTGTTATCCTTCCCTCCGTGCCTGATTTTGCCCTGGCTGACCCTACGTTCCTCTCGCGACCCTTCTCCCAAGGAGTCTCTTTCATTCCCAGCCATAATTTCCTCCATAAGCCTCGATTTATATTTTGCGGTCCGTTTTTCTATCTCTGTCAGCTTACGGCGGGCGTTCGAGACCTTCGTTTTCTTGGGCGTAGTCCCTTCTGAGTTTCGAGGACTCGATCTTCCATTGTCTCTTCCCTCCCTATTTTCCTGAGGTCCTCTTTTGCTACCCCCGGCTTTCCTCGAACTTTCGCCTCGAAAGATCCTTCCCATCTTCCCTGGTTCCCTCTGGTTTCGCCGACTCTCGATCCTTTACTGATGCTTCGTTTCGTTTCGTACCCCTACCCGTGCCCTGACTTCCTTGCTTCGCAGTTCCTCAACTTCTTCTTCCGACGCCATCCCTTTACCTACCCTGCACATGGAAATTTTTTTTTGCGAAACGGCCGATTGTTCATAGCTTCCCTAGTTCCCGGGCCCTAAGGTCCCCTTATTCTTACTTATTTCCATGCTTTCCCGTCTTATTTTGTCAGGACGACTCACCCCACGATTTCCTACAGGGCGCCGTTCCGTCTGTCTTCTGCCGGAAGGCTTGCTGCCGAGGTTTGACGTTTTGTCACTGTCGTGCCCCGGTCCCCTAGGGCGGTGTCTGAGGCTAGGGGCTCTCCCCTCGGGGGTAGCCCTTTTGACTCCCTGACACCCGGACGCCCCAGTGCTTTTCAGCGCGGGTGGTCTTCCCAGTTCCCTCGCGCCACGATCTCAGGTGGGACGGAACTCCGACCACTGCTTCCTTGCTGACGGCTAGCTTCTCATTCCAATTTTCCACCTTTTCCTTTTTCCCCAGTACTTTCCTTTCTCACACCGGTCCCTCAGGTCTGTCTTGCTCATCCGGTTCTTCGAACAGGTCAGCCACCCCGGCAAGGTAGTTTTCTCCCATCTCTATTTCCCTAACGATTATTGGTTCGTATTCCTCAAACGCCATGCGTGGTAACCCGAATATCAGGATTTCGATGAGTTCGAGTAGTTCACGGGCCTGGTTTCCCCAAAACGGCCCGTGCCTAACTGACACATCATAGAACATCCCCGTCGTCTGTGGATGAAAGTAGTGGTTCCAGACCAGAGTCCACTCCACCAGGCTTCTTGCCCTCGAGAAGCTGCCAAATACCAAGTCCACCATGAAGCGAGGCACTCGGCACCGCAGTCCCGTCATTGGGGCCTGGTCGGGGACTAGTGCGGGACAAGATCTTGACGGCCAAAAAATATTAGCACCACTTGTGCAAGCACTAGTGGGAGCTAGCGGGAGGGCCAAAAGAAAAATAAAAAGTAAAGAAGACAAGTGCTAGAGGCATGGGAGCAATCTGAAAAATCTCGGATTGACCTCCCCCAAGGAACATGGAGCCGTAGGGGCTCCATGAGAAAAATAGGCCTCCCGGAGAAAATCGGTGCATGGGGGCCTACCGTTTGGAAGGGAGAGGGGCAAACGGTGGCTTCCAAGGGCATGGAAGGGCCATGACTGCAGCCCGAAAAATAACGGACTGGCCCTTGGGCATAGGAAGTACCAAAACTAAGAGGAAGAGGCAAGAAAAGGGCCTTAACGGCTAATCGACACTTGGCGTGCAAAAAAAAAAAAAAAAACGAAAAGAAAAGAAATGTGGGATGTGAGAGGGAGTGAGTGAGTTGGCCGTCACTTGGGACTGCAACGAGTAGGGATTGCCAAGTCCCAACTGTCCAAGAAAGGAGGAAAAAGAAAAGAAAAGAAAAGAAAAATGAGAAAAGGGCCTTAACGGCTAGTTGACACTTGGCATGCTAAAAGAAAAAGAAAAGAAAAGTGGGAGGTGAGAGAGGATAAGTGAGTTGGCCGTCACTTGGGACTGCAGCAAGTAGGGACTGACGGGTCCCAACTGTCCACAAGTGGAGGAAAAGAAAAGAAAAGAAAAAAAAAAGAAAAAAAAAGTAAAAGGGGGAAAGTCAAAAGGGCACTAACGGACGAAAACGACCACCTAGGGGAGGGATTTTTGACCAGATTCATTCTAGCATACAGCGGTTACAAAGGACTTTGATTTTCTTTGATTTATGCAGAGAAAATCAAAGAAAATCAAGGCCCCTTGCAACCGAAAAATAACGGATTGTATGGGAGAGCCCAAACACATGTTTTAGGTGCACCGGGAGCCAAAATTGAAACCGGATGCACTTGGGACATGGTCGTTTTATTTTCTTTCAGTTGAAGTTAGTTGTGGGGCACTAGGATAATGAAAACAGCCCCTATGCAGTCCGAGTCACAACGGACTGCATAGGGAGGGGCAAACACAAGTTCTTGGGGCTCTGGGAGCCGAAATTAAGCCCGGTTGCCTTGGGAAAAACTAACGCTTTATTTTCCTTAGGCAAGGGGCACGCCGTGGGGCTGTGGGGCTAGGAATATGGCCGTGGATGCAGTCTGAGAAATGACGGACTGCACAAGGACGTCTGGACCAAGGGAAAATGGACCACGACATGCCCGAAACACGAGAAAAACGGCGCCACAGGCCTAAGGGAGTGTGGCGGTAAAACGGCAACGGCACGGCAAGGGTCCGGCGGCCGTGAAATTATTAACGACACTTGGGACACATGAAAAAATAAAACGGGCCTGACGAGGGCACAGGAAGTCCCAAATAAAAATTGGGCGTCAACCGGGATGACGCCGGGGGCCAAAGGGGCCCAAATGAAAATTGCCGAAAATTGGGCCTTGTCGATGGCACCGTCGGGGGAACGAAAAAAATGAAACTAGTATGGGAAGTGGCGGGGACTTGAGGTGTCCCGAGAAAAAGACCACTAGCCAAGGTGAGAAGTGGCCGTGAAAAGCAAACGGCGCCGTCGAGATCAAGGATCTCGACGGGGGAAAATATTAGCACCACTAGTGCAAACACTAGTGGGGCTCAAAACGATTGAAAAACGAGAGTGAGGAGCAAAACAAAATAAAAAGAATAATAATAAGGGGAGGGTTGCCCAGCAGTCCGGAGTATTTCGGACTAGCTAGGCATGAGAAAACAAGAGCCCAAGGGGGCTCCAAGCAAGAAACGGGCTAGCAAGAAAAATCGAAGCCAAGGGGGGTCAAAATGGAGGCTAACGGGAGAAAAATGAGCCCCCTAGGGACATGGGCATGCCAACTTGGTGGGTCGGGGTGTAACGGCCAACAGCCAGCCATGGACCTGGCCACAATCAAGGTTCTAAGGCCTAGAAAGAGAGTGCACAACAAA